GAACTTGAGGCTACATGATACTGCCCAGAAGCTGGCCTGGGCTCACTGTCCACATGGTCCTGGGCATGTCCCACTCTGTGGTAGAGCCTTGGTGTCCCTGTGACTGGCTGCACCTTGTGGTCCCCAATCCAAGGACTTCTGAGGATGAATGGGTGGCCTGGGATGGGAATGACTGTGACTCAACTGTGAGATGAGGTGACACCTTGGACAAGGGAAACCTGTGCCCAGTTCCTGGTATGTCTTAGGCTGTCTGCATGCACTGAGGTGTGTCCCTTCTGGTCCAGGCTCCACCTAGAGCAAGGCCAGGATGGGCAGGTGGAGGGGAGAAGGGGAGGAGGCTTAGTGACCCCCAGCCCCCACTTGGGCCATGGTACTGACATATAGCTCCTTGATTTTTTTGATGTGTCAATTCCCTCCTAGGGGACGCCTGACCGGCCCTGAGGCCACTGTCCCTCTGGAAGTCCACTAACCCTGGAGCCTGGCACCTGGTGTGGTGGGCAGTGAGCAGGACCGCACCCCCCTCCGCCGACACCACCAGGGCAGCATTTGTTATGGGTGTTGCAGAATCTTCCAGAGTGACTTTTGCTAGAAAAAATTTAAAAGCCTCTAGATGTGACTTGGGGTGTAAACATTGATACTTAATCTGTCAGATGTAAGTATTAGAGGCCCTGTTCAGCTTAACAAGCCCATTGTCTGTCCATCACCTGGCAAGGACGGTCCCAGCAGGGGCCTTTGAAAATGGTGGCTTCTGTGACAGCCCAGGGTAAACCTTTTGAACCATCCAGATTTCACTGTGAGTGTCATTTTCTTTTTAAAATATAATCTTTACTTATTTTTGTAACTGGGCTTAATTTCATGATTGTTTTAATAAAGAAAATGAACTATATTACAAACTTAGGGGAAAACAAAGAAGCAATGACCCCATAATGAAATAGTAATTTTCACAGCAATTTAGACATGAATGGGAGATAATTTGGGGGTTTTTCTTGTTTTTTTACTTTTTTATTATCATATTATTATTGTACTGGGATTCATTGTGGCAGTTACAAAACTTCTTCCAATATATCCTAGCTGAATTCACCCTTCCATCATTCTCCTTTGTCCCCTCTGCCCCCATTCCTGGAACAGTTTCAACAGGTGTCATTTTTCCATTTTCATACTTGAGTGCACAATGTTAAAATATATTCTTTCAGTTATGGCAAAACACACATGGGATAAAATTCCCCACCTTTGCCCTTTGCCATTTTAAGTGCCCAGCTCAGGTATCAAGCACCTTCACGGTGCTGCACAGCCATCGCCACTGTCCACCTCCAGAACTTCGTCATCTGCCCACAATGAAGCTCTGTCCCATTGAACACCAACTCCCCATCTCCCTCCCAGCCCCTTGCTCCCCCGTTTACGCTCTGTCCCTGTGGATCTGACTACTGGGGCACAGGTGTGGGGGGGTCCCACGAGTGGCTCATATAGGATCTGCCCTTCTGTGCCAGGCTGACCCCAATGAGCACAGTGTCCACCTGTGCACACTAGTTTTTCTGGATCAATAAAACTTTTAGAGACTTCAAGTCATTTTGATATGCAGACAAACAAGGTGACTCTAACATCCTCTGAAGTGTCCCTCCCAGTGCTGTTTGGGTCCTGCTGCTTCAGTGACCTGGCTTCTTGAGCTGGGCCCTAAGCAGCTCCTGGAAGTCCACATGGTCTCTGATGGGAAGCACGTGCCTCCTTCCCACACTCTTTGACGGTGCTGGGATGCCACAGGTGGGGACAGTGTTGCCACACTGTCAACCCTGGGGATCTAGGCCTAGCCCTGCCTCTCCCAGCTGAGACCTGGCTTGCTGGATTCAACAGGCAGCTCACCTGGGTTGGCTCAGCCCTCTTACAGGTGCCAAGCTAGGGCCCAGCCTGTGCAAAGAGGACGGTTTTCAAGTGGCAGCCCCCTGACTTGCTTTAGACCCAGCCTGTCTGTGGTCCCTGGAGCCACTCCTTTGCCTGAGTGCCTCCTGCTGAGGCCTGGACCGCAGCCCTGGCCTGATGCCTGCTTTCTTCCGTGTTCCTAGGGCACCTGGCTGCGGAGATAGTGAAATGATGTCCGATAACATGCTGGACGTCCTCAGGGCTGGCGCTGCGGTCACAGCTGCTGAGGTCGATCCACTGAGAGGGGAACAAGAAGGCTATTGTCGTCAGGGAGCCACCTGCTCCCCACCCCTTTTGGTACACCCTCCTAGGAACTGGGCTGGTGGCATTCAGGGACACAGTGACCTCTTATAGAGCAGGCGTCTTCTCTCTCCCAACCTGCCTTGCCTCCTGCTCCCCATCCAGAGCATGGGGCACTTCCTTCCTTTCTCTGGGCCTCAGTTTCCTAGCTCCCAAGGGGATGGAGGACATCCCATGATTGCTTGACCTTGGCGCAGCAAGACACAGAGCTGGGCCCTGCAGAGGCAGGAGTGCTCCTGTGCTGCTGAGTCTCAAACTCCCCAAGGGCAGGACCCTGGCTCAGTTGCTCTGAGGTTCCCAGCTCTGCCCAGGGCAGGAACAGATAATGTGGCAAATAAGATAAAGCTCACTTTATCTGCAGTAGATAACAAAATAAACTGTGTTGTTTAATTCCTTCTCAAGCCCGCACAATGTATTCAAATATTTGGAGACTGTTTAGCGTTGAGAATTTGGCAAGACTAAAAAGCAGCTGGCACAGTGATAATAGATTGCCAGCGCAGCCCCTGGCCTCAAGGTTCTTTAGCTGGCCCCATGGACCAGGACCAGGCACCTTTGGGCATAGCCCCAGTCCTTGCTGGCTTCCCGGTCTTGACTGGAGCCCTAGTCTTCATAGACACTGTCTCTGCATGGTGGCTTTCCCTGCCTACCTGCTTCCTGCCAGCGGTGGGCATCTCACATTTGGGCCTGCGTTGACCGCCTCTACAAGGCTGTCAGAGAAGCCTCAGCAACCCCTGCCTATCTGAGTTCCCTTGACCTTCCTGGAGGCTTCCAGCAGCCGAGAGTCCTGCGTGAATCCAGCCACTTCCTGTTTGCAGCCCATTTGTACATTTCCTGCATGCAGTGTCCCAGTGAGCCACCATCACTGCTTTCCCTTCCAGAGCCCAGACCTCCCAACAGAGTAGTGGCGGCTAGATTGTCACCCCAACAGTAAAAGAATTAAAAGGCCATAATGAGCCCTATCCCTGTCACCTCCTTGTTCAACCTCCATGTGACCTCAGGACCCTGGGACCCCGAGATGGTTTTGATTGTGACATGGTGGTGCCATGTCCTGTCTGGCTCTTGTGGGCTCGTGTTACTGTGTGGAGCACTGACCTGGACCGACAGTGAGTAGTCCTGGCTACGCAGTGCCCTGGAGGTGCTTGTCAGTGCAGAAGATGCTACTTGGACCTCAAGGGCTTGTGGGTAGCAGAAGTTTTGTCACATCTTCACAGTTGACACTGAGCACTTCAGGGCTCATCTGAGGCCTCATGGTAAAGTCACTGGCTTTGATCCTATGTGCCAAGCTGGGATGTCACCCACCAAGAGGCAAGGTGGCTGCCATTGGAATGGAGGGATGGAGGCAGGAGCTTGGTGCCTGGATTACATGGAGATGCGTATGAGGTGGTGGGGGGTGCTGAGCTCCTGCTGTGTACCAGGCCCCGTCCTAGGCACCTGCTGGTGGAGTGGCTTAGGTGGTAAGCATCCACATAGAAAGCACGAGGTCCTGAATTCAAGCGGAAAATAAAAAAAATGGTCTGTCCTAGTCACTTGCTCTCTGGGTGCTGGACAGCAGGCACCAAGTCCTAGCAGTGATACTTGAGTGTTTAGGGTATGACTGTGGTGATGTGGAGGACAGAGTCAGATGCTGGAGTGGCCCCTCAGCATGTCAGATAGAGCCACCTTGGCAGGAGCCAGAGGCATGGCTTCCAAGCAGGGCAGGGACCCATGCAAAGGCCCTGAGCAAGTCAGCAAGTTACCCTGAAGATAGGCAAAGAGTACCAAGGGAGCTGGGGTCACCGTGGTATCACACTGGCCCGTGGTGCTGGGCATTCTGGTTGCTGTGGAGCAAGCACACAGAGCTGTGCTGAGGACACTGGGCTCCTGGAGGGGAGGGGGTCTGGAGTCCCAGGTGCTGGCCAGAGGGTCTATGCAGTGGTCCTGAGCTCTGTGCACATGGCTTCTCTATCTGTATCTTCTGGGCCCTCAGAGCCATGGGACACCGTCCTCACTGTCCTGACCTGAGAAATGGCTGCGGGAGTGTGTGGAGTCTCTGAAGCCCCCAGGACTGTCTTCCCATTGGCTGCCCTGACCCCAGGCAGGAGCAGAGCTGTGAGCCATCTTAGCCTGGTGACACCCAGCGATGCTGAGCTGGCAGGCTGGGAACCAGGGCCCTGGAGGGCCCAGGAGGCAGAGGCTCCTTATCTTTATGGTGCCTGTGGAATCAGAGCAGGCAGCAGACTATATGCTGTGTGCCGACAGGCAGGCCTGGTTCTCTGATGATCTCTGAGGGCTCAGCCTTGGTGTTACCAGCTGGGAGGCTGCTTCGCACTGTTGCTGCGGTGCCCTGCCCTGCTTTCTTTGGGGTGGTGGTGGGGGGTAGTCTGTATACCAAGGTTCACTGACAGAAAGCTCCCCTGGTGGTCCTTAGGGTGTCCCAAGGTAGCCATCTGCATCTGGAATGTTTGGCCTTGCTAAGGAGACTCTGCATCTTCTGTGTCCTCAGTGACCACTACTCTGTGTCCTGTTACTGTGGGTGGGCTGGTTCAGGACCTAATTGCATGACAGCTAGCCTTTGGGGACTAGCCACTCGGTATTGTGTTTTGAAGTCCATCCATTCTGGGTATTGACCAGGGCCTAGTCCTTGTGACGGCTGGATGGCTTCCTGTTTCATGTATCATTCAGCTGGAGAGAACTGGGCTGGGCAGCACTTGAAGATCTTACCCCTGGGAGACTTGGTTGGGGACATCCCTGGTGGGGCCTGGGTGGCAGTGATGGGATGCTGACTGCCTCGCCACCCTGTCTTGCAGCTTCCTCATCGTGCTGGTGTGTCTCATCTTCAGTGTCCTGTCCACCATCGAGCAGTATGCAGCCTTGGCTACGGGGACCCTCTTCTGGATGGTACGTAGGTGCCTGGATAGCCTGATGTCACAGCTGCTGGGGATGGGGGTCAGGTCATGAGTTCCCTGGGGTGGAGCAGCCATCCCCGGCCTCCTACCTGCATGGTGGCTTCCACCTTCCATGATACCAGGGCTCATCCCCTGCTTCCACACCTGCCAGGTCAGTTGGGCTGTGCGTGTGATAGGTGGGAGGCCAAGGAGTGAGAGGGGCCTGGAGCTACTTGTCTGGGGGGCCTTCTGTGAGGTGGGGCTCGTGAACTGGGCCAGGAGGGGAGGACAGGAGGGTGCTTGGGTCAGGTGGGTAGGGCTGTGCTCCGGGGGGCTGGGTGACTCTTGCTTGTGTTATTTCTGGTTTCTGGACCCTGTGGATATCTCAGCCCTATCCCTCACCCCAATCACAGATGGTCTTCTCCATCAGTCAGGTTCCTGTCTAGTGGGACCACCTTGGTAGGACCAGCTGGGAGCGGGGCCTGCCTAGGCCTGCATCTGTATCCAGCCAAGCATCTCCCTTCCTGTGCCAGAGGACTGGGACATCTCATTCCTGGACCAGGTCCCCAAGCTAGGGCAGAGCTCAGACAGGCACTTTGAGGATTCAGATTCCCACCTACCAGGCCCTGGCCCCAGGCCTCTGCGCCTGTCTGAGCCCTGCACACTGACAGTGTTGGAGGACATTTCTCCAGGTTAGCTATGAGCCTGAGATGGCTTGGGAAGGAGCCCCCCACAATTAAGAGTAAGCCCTGCAAGGAGGTCAAGAGCCCAGAGCCAGCAGCCTTAAGGGTGAGGTCACTTACACAACACCATCCGCTGCTAGCCAAGGCATGAGGACAAAGAAGAGACCACTCTTGCCCTGTTGGGCCTAGGTCCAGTGGAAAACCCAGAGTGGATGTGTCTGTGAGCCAGGGGAAGGTGGGTGCAAAGCACCAGCCCTGTCTGGGAGACATGGGGTCTCCAAGGTCCCCAGTGAGCTGCCTGAATGCCATGGAAACAGGCAAGTGGGACCGGCAGGACAGAGTCCATCATTTTTCTGTTCCACGCTTTTGTGAGTTTCCTCATCTTGATGTGGAACATTCCAGATGTCCACAGAAGCAGGATTGTGATTGGCTATCTGTGTCCACTGCAGGGCTGGCCTGACAAGGCCCGTGTGATACCAGTGTAGTGCCTTCCAGCCAAGGGGCCCATTCAACCAGGTCTGGTCACCCAGGTGGTACCGGCTGTGTGCCTGTTTTAATTTTAGGCAGCAACTTTTATCTTTCCTTCATTGCTTCTGGATTTTGAGCCACAGGTAAGTGTCCTGTCAGGGTTATAGAGGCGACTGGCTATGGCCCATGGCATCCTCTCACCATGTGCGGGAAGTTGTGTGTATTCACGTTGCCGGTGGCCCTGGAAGCCTACTTGTGAGTGGGGTGCAGTGGGGGTTCGCTCTGTTCTTTCCCCAGGCACCACTCATTCCAAAGTCCATCCTTCCTGCCTGATTCCAGGTGCCACCTTCACTGTAAACCAGGTCTGCTTTGGGATCGCCCTGTTCCATTCCACCTGCCAGGGTCACACAGGTGTGTCCCTGCAAGTTGAAATCCAGTTATGATGGGTTTGCACCTATGTGGGGTCTTCTCCTTCAGGTTACCTAGCAGCTCCTGTTGGTTTTCTCTCCCCAACAACCTTACGATCAACTTACCTGGCTCAGGACACCCTGGTGGCACCTAATTAACTAAGTTGGGGACACTCACATGTCTATGGTGTACAAACCACAGTGTGTCTGTCTCTAGGAGGGCTTTCTGATTTGTGGGGCTAGCCGTTCTCATTAAGAGTTATGCCTTACAATGATAATAAGCGTTATTCAAAGTGGTCGTTACCTTTCACTGTTTGAGAAGCTCCGCTGTCTACATTTCATAGTCTGTGGCTTCACAGAGCTTTGTGGTACCAATCACAGTGGATCCCCCTGAAGAGCTTGGGGTTGGTCACAGTGGATCTCCCTCTGAGGAGCTCGGGACTTTGTCAGCCAGGCTGCAAGGGTGGGTCAGCCCCTGCTTCTCCAGACACAGCATCCGGGCACATGTGTTTTCCAGTCCCAGATCCATGACTGTGAGGTCATGGAGTTGAGTTTCAACTCATATCTCTCCTGCATGTGGAGGACACCCAGCCTCAGCTGCCCAGAGTAAGCCTTGGTCCTGGTGTGTGACTTCTCATGTGAGGTCAAGCTCTCGGATGTTTTATGGCAATACTGGTTTTGAATTCAGGGTACCATTTGAGCCACTCCCTCAACCTTTTATCTTTTTTTCCAGATGGGGTCTCACTTTTGCTTGGGGCTGGCCTTGGGCTGCCATCCTCCTATGTGTACCTCCCCTGTAGCTGGGATTATAGATGTGAGCCACCCTACCCAGACTCACACTCATATTCTATACACCCTCTCACAGAGCCATCTTCAGGCTAAGATCAGGGCTCCTGGGGCCCCTGTGTGCTGCAGTGTCCCCATAGCTCCTACCCAGGATTGTCATTCCCATCACCACCACAGACCTGGCCCTCCATTGAACACTGGCTATGCTGCAGGTCATCGTGCCTGTGTGTGGTGGGCAGGAGTCCCACCAGAGGGGACTCCGTGTGCCCTGGCCTCAGGACTTGTCCTTGATGGTTCCCAAGTTGTGAGGGCCAAGCTGACCAGACATTCCCTTGGGCAGCTCTCCAAGTGTGTGTGTGTAACCATGCATGTGTGCTTCTATGCATGGGTATGTGTACATGCGTGCACGTGTGTATGCAAATGCAAGAATGTGTACGTATACAGCTGTGTATTAACTGTGTGTGTGTGTCCTAGCGTGAACGTGTGATGTGGGGGATGTGTGCGTGTGTGTGCATGCACGTTGTATTCTGTACCTGTGTGTGTGCAGCTGAGTGAGGATGTGTTAGGGACTGTTTTCATGTGTGTCTGCATGTGCTCACGTGTGACTGTGCCTGTGTGTCCCTCATGTGTTCAACCATAAGTGGCTTCATGCCACTTGCGCCCTCTCCTGGTCACCTCTGCCCCCACCTGCTCCTGGCATCTCTGGGGGTGGCACTCCACCTGATGGCTGCTCTGGGAACTGTGCATACAATTCCCACAGCCTGGAAGTGTAGGTTGGGGTGGGCAGGGACTGGTGATGACCACACCTCTCTCCCTGGCCAAGGCACATGCTGGTGGGACAGCTCCCCTGTCCCAATCAGAGCCCTCTTCGCCCTGTGCTCCCATCCCAGAAGTGGCTTTTTTCCACCCCCATATGGACAGCAACCCCAGCTACTCCTTGCCAACAGCTGGAAAAAGAGCTTCTAAAACTAAAATCTGAGCGTTCCAGAAGTTCCCAGTACCCTTTGGGATACACCCCAGTTTCTCTGTGATGGTCCTTAAAGTGTTCCATATTCATGTGCCCTCCCCACCACCCCCAATTCCTGTCCTTGCCAGCTTCCATCTCACTCACTTGCTCCTACTGCCTTGGCGTTGTGTAAGCTCTTGTATAAGGCTGCTTCTGTGACATCCTACACGGCCGGGTTGGGCACTCCCTCCCTCCCAGCACTTCTGCCCTTTTCTTGGTGGTCTGGGGGGTGAAGGAGCTCTGTGGGAGAACTCACATCTCCCTACGCCACCCCACACTCCCTCCGAGCAGGCCCCACAGCTGTGCTTGCCCACTGGCCCATCATGGTGCTTCTGGGGTTAGACGTCCTCCTTCAAGCCCAGTTTCCAGAGCTGCCCCAAAGGAATACCCCAAAGTGCCATGTGGTCCTGGGCCCCGGTTTCCCCACCTTAAAATGGAAGGGATGAGAGTCAGTCTTGGACTTGACCTTCCCACTTGCTCTGTTCTGAGCTATGTCACCACTTGCTGGCCATGGAGAGGCTGCATGGGTTTGAGCTGTCTGAATTTAGTTGCTTACTCCAGAATCACTGCCACAGAGGGTGTGGAGGACAGGAGGAAAGGCAGCCATGGGCCCAGCCTAGATGAGCGGATGGGAAGGGAGAAGTGTGGGGCCCTAAGGGGACATCTGCTGGACAGTGAAGGCTTCCCACAGAGGGGCTGAGTGTACGTGTAGGAGGATGCAGATGGGTAGGGACCCTGAAGCTCCTGGCGTGGGTGAAAGAAGCAAAGTTTTACAGCCCTAAGCCTGATGGACAGGACGGCCCAGCCAGGCAGCAAGGACACCAGGTGGCGCTCCTGCCACGTGCATTTTGGCAGCCTCTGGACCTGGCCCAGCCTGCTGAGCTTGGAAGCCCAAACCACAGCGCAGGGAGCCCCACGGGGGCCCAGGGCAAGCGGCTGTGCAAGGGATTCTGGGAGCACGCTGTGCGAATGTGGAAAAAGTCACGCGAGGCTGCGTTCCGGAGCCCAGCACAGTCCTCCGGCTGCTGCGCCTGGCTTTTATGGTGCCAGAAAGCTGTTATCTCAGCCAGGGCCAAGGAAGCCCTGGCCTCTGAGGGATTAAGCATTCCGCTGAGCCAGGGATATTCGGTGGGCCTGCAAAGCCGGTCTAGGAGGAATCTCACCCTGGCCAGGCCAGGGTCCGGGGGGACTTTGAACAGGCACATTTTAGGCTTGTTTGTGGCACTCCCCCCCCCCCAAGCCCCAGGAGAACAGCCCTACCTGGCTCCTAGATTCAGAGCAAGCTGTGTCTGTGGCACACGTGTGTGCATGCAGTGTACCCGTGTGTCTGCTGTGTGCACATACATGTGTGCCTGTGCACCCAGTTTGAGGGGCTCTGTATTGCTCCTAGGCCTGCTGCTGGCCGAGCCCCGCCGCCCCGAGGCAGCAGGAGATCCTGGCCCAGGTGAAGGGCTGGTTTCTGGCCCCCACATCACAGCTTGTTTTCAAGTCCCACACAAAGAGTACAGCTCGGAAAAACATGGTCCAAGCCCCCACCCCGCATCTCCCGGCAGTCAGCAAGCCAGAGAATTGTCCTGCAAAGCCTGCGGTCAGGACCCGTGAGCTGCGGCCGGCCGGAGGCCTGGGGGATGAGGTCATGGTTTGCGGCTTCCTCCCTTGCTGT